GTTTGCTCCCTCTACTGCCGACCCGTCGCTGTTTCTGCGCACCGACACTTCTTTGCCGCCGTTCTACATCCTCGTATACGTCGACGACTTGGTCTTTGCCACTGCTCACACTGCTGGACTCGCCCACGTGAAGTCCGAGCTGCAGAAGAGACACACGTGCATAGACCTAGGTGAACTGCGCAGCTACCTTGGCTTGCAGATCACCCGGGACAAAGCACGCCGCACCATTACCCTGACTCAGTCACACATGGTGCAGGAGGTCCTTCAGCGCTTCGACTTCACGTATTTCTCGCCTCACGCCACTCCTCTGCCTACTCGCCACTCGCTCTCAGCTCTGCCTTCAGATGAGTCCATAGAGTCGAGTGGGGCGTACCCAGAGCTTGTTGGCTGCCTCATGTACCTGATGACCTGCACACGACCTGACCTTGCATACCCTCTTAGCATCTTGGCACGCTATGTTGTTCCTAGGAGACACCCACCAGAGCACATGGCGCAGCGAAGAGGGTGTTGCGCTACTTGTGCAGTATGTCGGGCATGGGGCTTGTGCGCGGAGCATTAGAGAAAATTGGAGAGAAGGCAGAAGAGACCCAGTTTTCAACAACCATTTTGGACGGTACAAAGCTTCCTATCCACGGCGAATCATCACTGTAGCTGCATATAGGTGCGTTGAGATGGAAGCCAAAGCTACCAGTCACCAACATTATAGGATTAGATTTTATCTTTGGGCGAGATTTTCTGAAGCGGTTCAACCCCGAGATCGATTGGGTCAACAGCAAGGTGTGCATCTACAACAACGGGAAGCAGATAGCACTGCGAAGCTGGACGAATACAGCAGTGCGAAGCTGGACGGATACCGGAGATGTACCTGAAACAACACTGGCACGGTTCGAACAGACGGTGAACGAGAGTAACACGGGGTACCTAGCACTGGTCATGGCAGCACCAGAGGAAGAGAAGCCGAGTTCCGAGCTCCTTGCAGTAGTAAAGGAGGTCTTGGAGCAGTACAAGGATATAATGCCCGACGACCTACCTGCAGGCGTACCTCCAGCACGCACCCACGAGCACGAGATCGTGGAGGAACCAGGTGCGAAACTCGTCTCACGTGCACCATACCGACTGGGTCCGACCGAACTGACAGATATGAAAAAACAGATAGAGTATCTACTGGACAGACAATTGATCCGCCCATCCACCTCTCCCTACGGTGCACCAGTCCTCTTTACCCCAAAACGAGACGGCAGTCTACGGATATGCATCGACTACCGCGCACTGAACAAAACAGACAGTCAAAAACAAATATCCCATACCGCGCATAGACGACCTACTTGATCAACTGCGTGGAGCAACATTCTTCTCGAAGCTGGACCTACGGTCGGGTTACTGGCAGAACAAGATGGCGGACAACTCGATTCACAAGACGGCGTTCCGTACCAGATACGACTCCTATGAATACTTGGTGATGTCGTTCGGACTCTGCAACGCACCAGCAACATTTCATGCGGAGATGAATCACATCTTACGACCTCTGCTGGACGAGTGCTGAGAAGAAGTGAACGAGAACGGAATGACTATGAACGAAGTGAGTACAAATAGGAAACCCTAATGGGTTGTACCCCCTATGGGATACCCCACTATAGCCTACACAAATAAGTAAGCTATAATGTTCTGACAAGTGCATGGTGGTGTACCTGGACGACATTCTCATCTACTCCAAGAACATGAAGGAGCACGTGGAGCATCTCCGGAAGGTGTTCGAGATCCTGCGGAAAAACAAGTTCTACGTGAAGCTGTCAAAGAGCGACTTCGCCTTGAAGAAGGTGCAGTTTCTCGGGCACATGGTGAGTGCCAAGGGCGTACATGTGGACCCGCGGAGGATCAAAGCTGTCAAGAAGTGGAAAGTACCGGAGAACGTGAAAGAGTTGCAGCAGTTCCTAGGCTTCGCCAACTACTACAATAGATTCGTGCCGCAATACGCTAAGATAGCAGCGCCACTGACCGACCTACTAAAAAAGGATATGCCCTACAAATGGGATACCCCTCATCAGCAAGCCATGGAGCAGCTACAGACAGCACTGACTACAGCGCCAGTACTCATCCTACCAGATCCAGACAAGGACTACATGGTGGAAGCAAACGCTAGTGACCTAGCAGTCGGAGCAGTACTGATGCAGGATCACGGACGCGGTTTGCAGCCCATCACCTACCTCAGTAAGAAGCTACACGGAGCAGAACTAAACTAGCCCATTCACGACAAGGAAGCCTTAGCGATAGTCATAGCCTTCAAGGTGTGGAGGTGTTACCTAGAGGGAGCCAAGACTACAGTCTATACTGACCACTACGGTCTGAAATACCTGAAGTCGTAGCAGGCGCTCTCACAACGACAGGTGCGGTGGGTGGACTTCTTGGAAACTCACTTCCACTACGACATCGTCTACAAGCCTGGACTACACAACAAAGCAGACGCGTTGAGCCGCCCCGGACATGTAGCAGGCATCCAGCTCGACGGGATGAACCCTCTACTCAAGGGTCTTTTCCAACATAAGTACTCCGTGGACGCAGAGATCGCTACAGCACAGACCAAGAAGCTGTTACAGTGGGAGAAAGACCTAGCGGTAAGGAAGGGTTCAGGAAAGGTTTGGGTACCGAATTACGCCCCGCTACAGCAGATCCTATTGGAGGAGTATTACTACTAACCCGGGATGGCAACAGACCTGCAGCAGTTCGTCACCTCTTGCGACACGTGCCAGCGGATGAAGAGTAGCAAGCAGAAAAAAGCAGGGTTACTTCAGCCTCTACCCGTACCGGAGCAGCCATGGCAGGTCGTTAGCCTCGACTTTATCACAGGACTTCCTTCGACCTCACGGGGGCACAATTCCATCTTCGTAGTCATCGATAAGTTCTCCAAAATGGGTCACTTCATACCGACCAACGCCACAGCTACAGCTCAAGCAACTGCTCGCCTCTTCTTCGACCGCATCATCACCATCCACGGCATCCCTGCTACACTCATCTCAGAAAGAGACCCAAAATTCACGAGTAAGTTCTGGAAGGAGCTCATGGGACTGTTGGGGACGAAACTTGCAATGTCTTCAGCATACCACCCCCAGACTGACGGACAGACAGAGCGACTCAATCAAGTGGTTGAACAGTAACTGCGCACAGCTTGCAAGGACGACGTCAGCCACTGGGACACACAGTTACCGACCCTAGAGTTTGCTTACAACAACGCATCACATGCGGCCACAGGGAAAACTCCTTTCTTCCTGTGTTACGAACGGGAACCACTCACACCACAGCAGCCAACCACACCGGCACACGTCCAAGCCGCACATGACTTCGTCACCACCATGCAGCAGCTATGGGAGAAGACTCAGCGACGACTCACCATGATGCAGACCTCCTAGAAGTAGTATGCCGGTCGTCAGCGACGGGATCACTCAGTAGCAGTCGGAGATCAGGTGCTTCTTGACACGCGCAACTTGAACCTGTCTCACCTCCCATCCAAACTCCGGCCTCGCTTCTGTGGTCCTTTTCTCGTTGAGGCACAAGTGACACCAGTTCCATTCCGCTTGCGCTTACCTACAACTTGGAAGCTTCACAATGCTTTCCATGTGCAGCTACTGAAACCCTACAAGGACCCCAACCAATAGTTCCAGGGACGGCAGCTACCGCCACCACCACCTGTTCTTATACAAGATGAACCCGAGTGCGAGATCGAGCGCGTTCTCTCTCATCGGCGCCAAGGCGGCAAGACTCTCGAGTTCCTGATACGCTGGAAGGGATACGACCCCACTGAGGACAGTCGGGTTGCAGAAGCTGATATGGGCAACGCACGCCGTGCTCTCAAGGACTATCTTGTCAAGCAGGGTGTATCTCACGCCACCCAGCTTTCAGGGGGGGGCGTGTGAGAGTACGACGGCTTATGCCAGCTATGCTTGCTTGCCTCTACTTTATCATGCTATTTCTAGCATAGGATATTCATATGCATGCATGAATTGCTTGATATCCTAGGCTAGGTGCTTTCCTATATTTTATTATAGTTATAGCACCGAGCTAGGTTACGTGCACCGAATTCTGGCCTTTTGGGTTGCCACCGAATTGCCTTCTACCGAATTCGGCAAGGGTCTGTTCGGGACGCTACGCGACCCGCGGAACCTTCGCGTAACACCTGGTTACGGGGCCTTGTGTCGAGCCTATATATAGCCTCATGTTGTACCCAGGTGATCATTCAATTCGATTCAATTCGACACAAATCTCATTCTCTTTTCTGAGCTCGATCCTAGATCCTCACAAGTGAAGTCTCGGATTGGCCGCCTGTTTCTGTCGCCACGGAAGATGCGTGCGACCTCAAACCAGTCCACGGTGTACTCAAGGAGAGAGCAGCGCATTTGGTGTCCCAATGATGTGTCTGAGATAGCCCCCCGGCCCCACGTTTTTATAATGTTCTGCTTGCTAAACCCCCTCTCGCACTCCACCATGCTCAGGGGCAGCACAGCGACTGCTTGCCACAGGAGGATGATGTTGAGGTAGGAGCGCTCCCATTGGTCGTCGCGCAGAGTGTTGCTGAGCGCCTGATGGAAGTCTTCGTCATGGTGCTGAGAATGCATGGTCGATGTAAACATCCAGAGCTCAGCGACAGCCTTCGTGTAGTTGAAGCCTGAGGCATAGGGGGAATGATTCTCAAAGGAGTACAAAGCGGCAGATTAGTGTAGGGAGGGGGAAAGGGGGGGGGGGGGGGGGAGGAAGGTGTTGATCTTTACGAGCACAAATCATGTGAAACAGGCCGTGTGCAGGCTATTAGAGTAGGGTGTGTCACTCATGTGCGCATAGATTTGTCATAATCAACAGCGCACAAACCTGGCAAGGACTCGCGGTAGAGCACATGGAGCTGCTTCAGCCAACGCATGAACGCCGCGACGCGCTTGTCATCATCTTGTAGGTACTTCGATGACAGGAACAGCTTCGAGCCATCGAGGTGAGACAGATCTCTTAGGCGCTTCTCAAGCTGCTTGACAACCTCCCGCACAAACTCGGTCGACATCTGTCGCGTCACCTGCCGTCGTTTCACCGTCAGGGTCTTTATCGGCCAGTGGTTGCTCGTGGAGCACAAACTCATGAGAAGATGGGGTCCCATCGCTATCGACGCCTTCCACCTTCATCTTCCGCTTGTCTGGGTCCGCCTTCCCATATGCACGAATGAAGGCAGGCAAATGCATCTTGTCGCCATGACCGAATGTGTGTCCTTCGGGACACGGAGGTAGCATTGGGTGAGGCGCATCCGTGTCTGCTCTGCAAGGTGTGCCACCAGAGTCACGTCCACCTGTGACGCACGCGCAGTACATCCCAGGACGTCACCTTTGACGAGTCGGTGCCTTACTACCGTCTTTTCCCCTACCGCACTACGCCCCCCCCCCCCCTCGCCGCCGCTCTTCCTTGCGCCAGGTCCTCCCCAGGTAGACCCCCTCCCTCCTCAGGGTCCTGCCTTATCACGTGTGTCCCAGGTAGACGCAGTCAAGCCTATCGAGGTAGCTTTTGACTCTGGTGCTGCTCGAGGTGCTGCCTGTCCTACTGTCACGCGTCTCCTGGCTACTGTTGTCACTGACCCTTCCTTTGAGTCCACTGCTGCGTCTGCATTGGTTGCTGAGCTTGTCGACTTTGCAGCTCGCTGTCGTCTAGGCTACGCCGCTAGTCTTGTTGCTGAGTCAGAGTCTGCCTGTCCTCGATCTGTTGGGGGTGAGTGTGCTCTTAGCACGGACGTCCTTGAGGACAGGCAGGAGGAGTTCCAGTGTTTTGTTGCTGCTTTGCCCCATCTCGTGTCCACGCTGATTGCCCCCGAGGGAGACCCAGATGCACCAGACATCCCGACTCCTCGATCGTACGCTGAGGCGATCGAGGGTCCCTACTCCTCTCAGTGGCAGTCAGCCATGGACGCAGAGATGGCTTCCTGGAAGTCCACAGGCACCTACGTCGATGAGGTTGTCAGAATTATATATAACTGCATTCAGTTCTAGCTGTAGTGTAGTCTTATATTGGTTCTTGCTTGGTGGTGCACCCTTCCTGAACTATAACTTGTACTTGTTTCTCATATTGAATCATCCTTCTCATCCTCGACTCTCCTCCCTTGGCACAAATCACCTCGAATCCCTTGGCCTAGGCTACTAAGCCTAGGCCCTAAACCTTAACTACCATTACCTACTGCTTAGTCTATAAACATGGTATCAGAGCCTGTTAAATCCAGTTCTGTGGGCTTGCTTCACGCTTCCGCTACTGTTTTTCTGGTCGCGCGCCTCGGGCGCGTGGCGATTTTCGTCCTGTCCCGCGCCCGGGTGGCGCGTGACGTTTTTTCTACCCGTCGCGGACCCGCCCCTGGCGCTCGCGGCGGTGCCCTTGGCCATCGCGGACCCGCCTTTGGCGCCCGTGGCGGTGCACTTGGCCGTCGCGGACCCGCCTTTGGCGCCCGCGGCGGTGCACTTGGCCGTCGCGGACCCGCCTTTGGCGCCCACGGCGGTGCACTTGACCGTCGCGCACCCGCCTGTGGCGCCCGCGGCGGTGCACTTGGCCGTCGCGGACCCGCCTTTGGCGCCCGCGGCGGTGCACTTGGTCGTCGCGGACTCGCCTTTGGCGCCCGCGGCGGTGCACTTGGCCGTCGCGGACCCGCCTTTTGCGCCCGAGGCGGTGCCCTTGGCCGTCGCGGACCCGCCTTTGGCGCCCGCGGTGGTATACTTGGCCGTCGCGGACCCGCCTCTGGCGCCCGCGGCGGTGCCCTTGGCCGTCGCGGACCCGCCTTTGGCGCCCGCGGCGGTGCACTTGGCCGTCGCGGACCCGCCTTTGGCGCCCGCAGCGGTGCACTTGGCCGTCGCGGACCCGCCTTTGGCGCCCGCGGCGGTGCACTTGGCCGTCGCGGACCCGCCTTTGGCGCCCGCGGCGGTGCCCTTGGCCGTCGCGGACCCGCCTTTGGCGCCCGCGGCGGTGCCCTTGGCCGTCGCGGAGCCACCTTTGGCGCCCGCGGCGGTGCCCTTGGCCGTCGCGGACCCGCCTTTGGCGCCCGCGGCGGTGCACTTGGCCATCGCGGACCCGCCTCTGGAGCCCGCGGCGGTGCCCTATGCCGCTGTGGACCCGCCACTTGCGCCCGCGGCGGTGCCCTGAGCCGCCGTGCCCCTGGTGCCCGCGACGGTGCTCCCGCCTCACCCGTACCTGCGCTCGTGCACCCGCCCCTGCCTCACCCGAACTTGCCCTCGTGCAGCCTCTCCTGCCTCAACCACGCCTGCCCTCTTGCAGCCGCCCTTGCCTCACCCACGCCTCCCCTCGTGCAGCCGTGGGGGGGAGGGTATGGGGGTGGCGGGTGTGGGGTGATGGGTGGTTCCTTCCCTTCCCCTCCTCCTCCTTTCGTTCCCATTGCTGCAGCTGCCGCTGGGGGGGAGGGTGTGAGGGTGTGGGGAAGCCGGGGCAGTGGCACTGGGGTGGCGGGTGTGGGAGCAACAAGCAGCCGTCCCTCCACCTCTCCTCTCGACCCCCCTCTGCTGCTCCTGCAGCAGTGTGGGGGGGAGGGGGAGGGGGAGGATGAGGGGATGGAGGTGTTGTGTGCTGTTGCTGTTTTCTCTGTCTGTGGTGTACCCTTGCAGGTTATGTCCTTCACTTAGCTATTCCTGCATGCAGTTATGGGGGGATGTCACAATTATATATAACTGCATCCAGTTCTAGCTGTAGTGTAGTCTTATATTGGTTCTTGCTTGGTGGTGCACCCTTCCTGAACTATAACTTGTACTTGTTTCTCATATTGAATCATCCTTCTCATCCTCGACTCTCCTCCCTTGGCACAAATCACCTCGACTCCCTTGGCCTAGGCTACTAAGCCTAGGCCCTAAACCTTAACTACCATTACCTACTGCTTAGTCTCTAAACAAAGGTTCCCCCACCTCGGGCGAACATTGTCAGTGGCATGTTGATTTTCAGGGTGAAGCGGCCGCCGGGCTCTCCGCCTGTCTTCAAGGCGCGTTACATGGCTCGAGGCTTCAGTCACCGGCAAGGAGTTGACTACTTTCAGACCTTTTCTCCCACCCCGAAGATGACCACTCTTCGGGTGCTGCTGCACATAGCCGCTCATCGCAACTACGAGCTTCACTCTCTTGACTTCAGCACGGCTTTCTTGAAGGGCAGCCTGCACGAGGAGATCTGGCTGCGCCGCCCACCTGGCTTCACTGGGTCGTTTCCTCCTGGTACCCAGTGGAGCCTCCGGCGGCCAGTCTACGGTCTCCGCCAGGCGCTCCGTGAGTGGCACGACACACGAAGGACTACACTTGCGGCTCTTGGGTTTGCTCCTTCTACAGCCGACCCGTCGCTGTTTTTGGGCACCGACTCCTCTTTGCCGCCGTTCTACATCCTCGTGTATGTCGACGACTTGGTCTTTGCCACTGCTGACACTACTGGACTTGCCCACATGAAGTCCGAGCTGCAGAAGAGACACACGTGCACAGACCTGGGTGAACTGCGCAGCTACCTGTTGTTCAGGATCCGTCTTTTTGAGAGCTTACAACAAACTCATTACTCAACTAAACGCAAATCCGCTTGGTAGGAAGTTGCGCCTTAGACTTAGCTATCATCTCCAAGTTGAATCAGTTGTTAAGATGGTCTATAGAGTGAGAACCAAGTAAAAACGTCCAGCAGCCGCATGACTAGAATGGTGGAGGAAGTACAAACATTAGGGCATAGGAAGTTGGAGTTGGGAACCTCCAAGAGAACCATGAAAGGGAAGGGGTTTTCCAAGAGCTAGGGAAGGATGGTAAGAACCTTCCTAGCAGCAAGGATGCAACCCTCATCATGAGGTCCTTGAGGTGTCACATGCAAAATCCTATCTAGTTGGATTTTGCCTAAGTGTTGCAACATTTGCAACCCATGCTAGAAACTTCTAGCCACCCCAATCCAAAAGTCAAATTTGCCTTCCTAACCACCCAACCAAAGATCCCTTTACGGTCATGTCCCAAGTAATCATCCAAATTAGATATAACCCCAAAAAGTAATAAGAAATCCAAGTCTTGGAAATCTTGTAACTTGGGCGATCTTGGTCGGAATAAGGCGATCTTTGTGTCGTTGGAAAGCTCTGGATTTCTCCTGCATGATCAAGTATTTAGACTTGGAGAAAAAACACAGAGATGATAATATCCAACAGCCATGCACGATGACATACGCTCATGCAAATCATGCAAGCACAAATAGCACGAGCACTCGGCAGGACGTTAGGATGACATGCACTCAGAATGACGTGCATCCAACAAACTCCCCATCAGACTAACGGACTGCATGCACACATACCCACACACATGCATAGTCTCATGCACACAATCACATATGCATTCATGACACTGCTGCCCTCACTAGTGCAATGCCATGCCACACATCTTAGCACACTTCCAATGTGCACTCTCGGGAAGTCTCTTGGTGAGAAAATCTGCCGCCTGCTTGCTAGCCTTCACATGGTGAAGCTCAACAGTTCCCTCCTTCACCATCTGCCTCACCCAGCGCCACTTAATCTTCATGTGCTTGTTCAGCCCATTCAGGATAGGATTATTGGCCATGCCAATAGGAGCCTCGCTGTCGGAGAAAAGTGGTGTAGGTCCCTCCTGTTCAGCTCCCATGTCCTCCAGTAGCTTCCTCAGGAGCACGATCTCCTTGATGGCATGGTACATCGCCATGTACTCCGCCTCTCTGGAAGACTGAGCAATCTCACTCTGCTTCTTGGACCTCCAGCTCACTGGTCCACCTCCGACCATGCACACAAAGCCGCCAACCGATGACTGATCCTCATTCTCTGAGGCCCATGTGGCGTCGGTGAAGCACGACAACTTCAAGGTACCAGGCGTGACCCCATCTGCTCCAATCTGTTTCAGCTGGCCGCCAGCTGAAAACTGAACACCAGCAGATGTTGTTGATCCGAGGTAGCGCACCACGCGCTTTGCCACCTCCAACTGCTCCACAGTGGGCCGTTGCACAACTCTGGCCAGCTGCCCCACTCCGAATGAAGCATCAGGTCGCGTATGCACAGCTACATACATCACACTCCCAATGAGTGACTGGTACTCATTCTGCTGCTCATCCTTGAGTACATCATCCTCCTCAGCTGCCTTCTTCAGTTTGAAGCCCGCAGGGAACGGTGTCCTCACAATGCGACCCCCAGTCACACCATACCGCTCCATGAGACCAGAGATGTAGTGTGACTGATGCACCTTCAGCCACCTCCTCTCAACATCCCTCTCAATCTGCAGCCCCAAGTAGCAGTGAACATCCCCCAGCATCTTGCACTTGAAGTTGTCCATCAACAGCTTTTGTGTCCTCTCAATCTGATCCATGGAAGGTGAGAACAGCAGTATGTCATCGACATACACCAACAGCAAAAGCAACTGCTCCCCCTCTCCAAGCAGAAACAAGCTGTGATCCGCCTGGGACGTCTTGTAGACTCCACCCAGCAGCACCTCCTCCAGCTTCTCGTACCAACACCTGGGCGCTTGCTTAAGGCCATAGATGGCCTTCTTAAGCTTGCACACCCGGCTGGTCCCATCATCATAGCCGTCGGGCTGCGCCATGTAGATATCCTCCAGCAGTATTCAATTGAGGAACGCAGTGGTGATATCCATCTGCTTCACGTGCCATCCCTTCACAGCTGCGCTAGCCATCAAAGTCCTCAATGTCACTGGCTTAGCAACGGGAGCAAAGATCTCCCCGAAGTCGACCTTCTCCTTCTGCTGAAACCCCTTGGCGACCAAGTGGCTCTTGAACCGCTCCAACGCACCATCAGCTCCACTCTTCACTTTGAAGACCCACTTGCTGCTGATCGGCCGTCGCCCCTCAGGTAACTCAACAAGCTCCCAAGTCCCATTCTCAATGAGACTGTTGAACTCCGCATCCATGGCAGCCTTCCACTCCTCCTTTTGGGGTCCACTCAGTGCCTCCTCCACTGTGGCTGGTTCTCCAGACAAAAGGTGTGAAGAAACAGAACGCCATCTCCTCATCATCTCTTTCACCCGCCTGAACCGCCATGGCACCTTGCTTGGGTCCTCCCAAACGGCTATATTTCAGCCTTGAGGGTGCTGCTGCCACTCTCTTCTCGCGGGTTACAGTCTGCTGCCCATGTGGTGAAGCTCCTCTCTGCACACTCGTCTCGGTGACCTTGGAGTTTGCAGCAGGCTCGGGCTGAGATGGTGAGTCCACACGTGCCGACTCATCCTCCAACCCCTCCTCCGCAGCAGGACCAGCACCTTGCTGCTCACCACCGCCACTGTGGTCACTGGTCAGCTCTGACCCAGGGAGATCCTCAAGGTGCAGCTGAACCTCCTCCACTGCAGGCCGCTCAATCTCCTGCAGACGCAAGCCAATCTGCACCTACTGCTGCTGCTGCCAGTCCTTGTACATGACGTCCTCCACAAACTTGACGTCACGGCTGACCAGCGACTTCTTGCTCTTGGGGTCCCACATCAGCCATCCCTTCGAGTCAGGAGCCATCCCAAGATGGACAGCCCACACAGCAGCAACTTCCAGTTGTGCCTCTGCTCCTTAGGCACCATCACAAGCTTTATGCAGCCCCACACACGCAGCATGTCAATAGATGGCTTCTTCCCAAGCCAACGCTCGTACGGCACCCAGTGCTTGTCGCCAACATGCGTCAAGACCCTGTTCTTGACCGTGATGACATGGTGAATAGATTCAGGCCAGAACTCGTAGGGCATCCCAGCAGCCCCCAACAAGGTCTTAGCCGCCTCGCCAATGGCCCGGTTGGCACGCTCAGCAATGCCGTTCTGCTGCGGTGTTCCAGGGCAGGTCAGCTGATGTCGGATGCCATTTCTTTTGAGGAACTTGGTGAATTCTGCTCCAAGGAACTCTCCACCTCGGTCGCTCCTCAGCACCTTCACCAGCCGCATCGCTTGCCGCTCCACCATCGGCAACCAATCCTCCTTGATCGCCGCTGCAGCATTGCTCTTCTTGGACAAGGGACGCGCCCACGTGAAACGGCTCCATTCTTCCACCATGGTAAGGAAGTACAGCACTCCCCTCAGTCCTCATAGGACCCACCAGGTCC